TATTGCTGCACTACGCCATTCAACCAGCGAGCTGCTGACCCCTCTAGAAAGGAGGCAGCCACTACAACTTCCTGCTCTGGCCTTGTGAGCTTGTAACTCACATAAGTAGGCACAGTCCTCACCCAGGTGTCCAAGTCTTCCTCCTGCTTCCTATCTCCAGAGAAGGGCTTAGGACTCATTAGAGGTATCTTAGGCAACCATTGCATAGGCTGCATGGGCCTAGGGGCTTGCTGCAGCGACTGCATAGCCATTGAAACAGGTTGTTGCACACTAACCTGGGCCTGGCTTGACGGTGGGACTGTAGTTACCATTGTCATGGATGGTACGGCTGAGACTCTTTGAACCGGACCACTAGTTGTTGCTAAACCACCTGGAGGGGGCATGCCAAACATAGGAGAGAAAGTTGGCCCTATGTGTAATGGCATCGATGAAGGACCTGCACCCGCAGGGGGAACTACAGCAAACTGCGGGTGCCTCACTACTGTGCGAGGAGCCCGAAGTTCAGCCAGGATTTGTTTCTGACCTGCTACCAATTCGGCCAGCAATTCATGTTGGACGTTCTGCGCTTCAGCCACTGAAAGTAAAGCGTTACGCAGCACACGACCAGCAAGGTCCAATGCTGCCTCATCTAGTCCTTCCAACCTGTTTAGCTTCTGCCTTCTACTCCCTAGTCTAGCCTTCCTACGTATGGCTTTTCTTCTCCTCTCTGCTGCCTCGTCCAACTGCCACTGTAGCTCATCCTGAAGTTCTTCTGCTTGCCGGATTTCTAAATCCTCCGGCGTGAGTTGAATTTGTTGGCTGACTCGCAAGCTAGCAATCTGACTAGTGGAAACCTGAGAACCACTCTGACTGACTCCTGACCAAGTGGACTGTGTAGAGACTTGCAACATGGATGAGGTAGCCATGGTTGCACCGGTACTAGCTGAAATTCTAGTCCTAGCACTATCCTCAGCTTCCCTCGCTCTCCTTGCTGCTGCTCTCTCTCTAGCCTTTCTTCGCAATCTTCTCTCGTCTCCTGGACCTAACTCCAAGAATGTGAAGGGTCGACTACGCGCAGTCCCGCGAGTTGTCCTACGGTCGTCCACTAGCAACTCCTCCTCACTAGTGCTTGCATCACTCATGACCTACAGTGTGTGTGATGTAAACTAGAATCCACATTGAATCCTACCTTAGCCTGACACAACCGATTACGAATTACAACTAATTTCGGTCGGCTGTAACGGAAACAGTTAGGTGATATATTAACAACTAATGTCAGGTCCTACAGGATATATTAATTCTATTTTTAGATTACCCTGGAACAGATTGCACTACCACAAAGATACAATCTATCTGTAATTGTCTGTCAGTTGTTAGTCAAGTCGGTTACAACTAGATAATCAAAATAAAAATAACATCTCCTGTTGGAGATGTATACTGGATGGCAGATTGATAGTTGATTACCACTGTGAAGAATTACGGAAATCCCCCCTCCCCCTGTATCCTTCTTGAGTGGTCTCTTTGTGTCAACGTTCCTGAGCATCTGGTTGAGCAGTGTGTTTAAAGGTGTGCAATCCGGCCCACCCCTGTGCCCCAAGTCATTGTCGAACATGACAGCCAGTCCACTCTTATTTATCCTCGTACAGAACGAGCCTTACACCCGGTTGATCTGGCTGATCAGGAGGGATTTATGGAGAGCCCCCATCTCCTCAGGAATTATTTAACGTCGCAGACAGGACGACGATCACAACCGGATTCATATCGGAGTCCCCAGCCATAAATATTTATAGACGGTCTGGTAGGCGTCTCATAAAAGGTTGGCATGCCCTGCACGACCTCTATTGCGCAAGCAGCAGAACCAAGGACTTGTGGCAAAGCATGCGTGTACTAGTCCCAGCGGGTTGGCATGGTGACCGTGACCCGAGTGCTTCGTCCAGGGCCCTTCAGAGGCTTCGCCCTTCTGCCACCAGCTTGCTGCCCAGGAAGAATGTCAACTCTCAAGGTTGAGTGCTCGCGACACCTCACATCGAGAGGACTCTCAAGACAGAACTCACTTCCTCACGGTAAGAAAAGATGAAGAGGGTAGATAAGGAGGAGAGCAACGTACCTCATAAATGCTGCCCCCAACCACAAATTTCTCACTGGTAACCTGATGTGCAATTATGATGACCGGTCTTTGCCTCAACACAATCAACAACAGAATGCGGTTCCACCTTGGCTTAATATGCCACATCAGCGAGTTCTCATCATCCAGCATACATCCCGTAGGTCACCAAATAGCTCCCTGGCGCGCCCACACTACCCTGGGCCGCCTAACGTTTAATGCCAATGCCTTATCACTGCCCCACACCTCATGCGAAGCACCAATAGCTATTGCGAAGAACCAATGGAGCGCAATACTCCGATACCAAATTGCAAGGAAAACAAGCAACAACGAGATGACAATTCCGGATCACACCATCACATTGAAAGCCATATAGTCACACTGTGTCTAGAGAGCAGCATTGCACTAATAGTACACCAATGGAGGTTCGTAGCACTGAAAACCAATGTCCATGGAGAGCATATTCTCTCCTCTCAACACAAGAGTCCAGTTCCTTCACACTCACACTTGGCGCTCAGCGCTCAGCCTACTCCTACACAGCTACTACAGACTACAAAAAGACAATGCAAGTGTTGACATCAGCGGCAGCCCGAAGTACTTGAAGATTTCGCCCGTGTAGACCATCGCCAGTACAAGGTAAGTGCCCTCACATCATCATCATCGGCATCATCCTTCACCTATCCCCTGACTACACCCACACCTGTCCTCTCTTTCACCCGAAGACCACCTTTATGCTTCACTGTAGTCCAAGCCCACCAGCTATGGTGGTTGGGCTATGGCGCTGCCCTTAGCAGCGCCCTCCTCCTCTGCACGACCGACCATGCTGCACCTCCCCTCTTAGCGCCAGCCAGCAGCCGCGAGCCTTTGCTCCAGCAGCGCTGCTGCTAGCGTGCGAGTGCCTTAAAAAGGAGGCGGCTAGGGCCCAGCTCTTTCCTTTATGGAAAGAGTTGGCCTGCTCTCGCAGACTGGCTGCACTGGCCTGGGCCCAGAAGCTTCCGGAAGACCCCAGGAGGCTGCCTGTGTACAACAGCTACTGAGCTGCTGAGCCTTGTTCGGTTGGGCACCCAACTGTCTCTGTATGAGGCTGCGAATCACGCCCAGGGCCTGCATTCTTTGGAAAGGCCCGGAGGGCTGTGGAAGTGTCTTTGTTGCTCGGCCTGTGTTTCGCTCAACCAACTGGCACGTCGCAACTGCCTGGACCCCAAATATGAAATTGACAGTCGAGGGCCTCTTGCAATAAGCCAGGCCCGCCTTCACTTAGGGCGGGTAAGGCTGCAAACAAGGCCCCATAGGCCTACCGAGGACCCTGATCCTCACATTATCAGAAGCGTAGGAGGCTATGAGGAGGCTATTTTTAGCCTTGCGACTCATTTGGAAACTGGCGATTATCAAGGAAGTGATCCCAGGGTATTGCGAATTTGGAATTTGGTCAGGATCCCCAATTTCCAAGCAGCGTTGTAAAGGGTAAAGTGGAGCTGCACTGAGTTTCTCAGTTATCAGCATCTGGGAGTCCAGATTCAGTGAACCTGTCAATTGAGGGTGAAGCGCCTCAGGGTAATCTACAGGATCACCAAGTCTCAGGAAATTTGGTACGTGGGAACAGTGGGAATCATCAGGAGATGAAATTGGCGAGATGGGGTTGAGCAGACAGCCATAGCGAGGGTTGCACTCAACTTCTTCAGAGATATCTCTGAAGTAAGTGTGTTCCTTACTCTTCTCTGTGTGGCGATTCTGGGGCTATTTTTAGTTCCGCGAAATTTGGTCAGTGAGTCAGTTGATAGTTGAAAATCGAAATTCGCACTGGATGACAACCATAGCCAATTTCCCTTACCTACTTTCTTTGACTTCTACTAACCCTGTTTACTCAGACTCAAATTTCATATGTGACTGCTTTACAGTGTTGCAATTCATCCTGTACTGTGAATTGAGTTGTTCAGGGCCTTGTTGTCAGTGATAATGGAAACTTGAACTCTACGCTGCCATAGATGAAGCTTGGCTAGACTAGGGTCAATCATAACTTCAACTCTGTCCGTCAGAATTCAGTTTTGTCAGTCCCTGGTAAATCGCATTTCAGTACACAGTCTGTGTCTGAAAGCGCGCAATCAAATTTGATGTTCGGAGTCAGTTACGGTGATTTCTGTAATTCGCCATACCCTGGGTATGGCATGCAAGATGATATAGTGGTGAAGTCTGTAGCGGAAGTCTAAAAATAGGATACCCTGTAAATCGCTGCATCTTGGTCATAAGTGGATGCCTGTCCCTAATTAGTCACTCTTATCTAATTACTAATCAACACTAATCGGTCCAAGATTGCATCCTGAAAGTAATTGACACAGGATTTGCAATTATCACATGCAATTGTGGTGTCAAGGCAAATCGCATTTCAGTACACGGTCTGTGTTTGAAATCGCACAATCAGATTTGATGTTCTAAGTCAGTTACAGTGATTACTGTAATTCGCCATACACAAGGTATGGCATATAGGGTCATACAGTGGTGAAGTCTGTAGGGGAAGTCTAAAAATAGGATACCCTATAAATCGCTGCATCTCGGTCATCAGTGGATGTTTGTTTATCCCTAATTAGTCACTCTGTCTAATTACTAATCAACACTAATCGGTCCAGGACTGCATCCTGAAAGTAATTGACACAGGATTTGCAGTTATCACATGCAATTGTGGTTTCAGGGCAAGGAATGGAAAATCGTGAAACCGATTTTTGCTGAGAATACTCTAATCTGACCCTGAACCTCAAGCGGTCTGCACAGACTGAGCACTCACTTGCTCAGACTAACTTTCTCTCTCCAGTCAGGTGACAGCAATTGAGTGAGTACTGCAGAGAAAACTCAATTCCTGTTACTTCCTCTCTTGTCTTCTAATTAATTGTTTTATTTTATTTATCTAAATTGTGGGTAAAAGCAAAATGTATGGGGCAGAGAAGGGTGAAATTTTTGAGGTGAAGCCTCAAATTCCTCTTGACCCTTTAGAGGCTGAATTGCATGTTGAGTTGAAGAGGAAGGAGGAAGCTGTCAGAAAAGAGACTAGGAGGCAGGAAGTGGCAGCTGATGTGGAGAAGGTCAGGGTGAGTGGCAGTTCCAGCCAATACAATAAGGACATTGCTGAATTTGTCCTCCTGCAGGATGACATTCATCATTCCTATTTTACTAATTTAGAGGCTGAACTGCGTGCTGAGGAGGAGAAACTCCGTCAACAGGCACAGACAGTCGAGGCTCTGAAGGCTGAGTTGAAGAGGAAGGAGGAAGTTGTCAGAAAAGAGACTAGAAGGCCGAAACTGGCAGCCGATGTGGAGAAGGTCAGGGTGAGTGGCAGTTCCAACCAGTACAATAAGGACATTGCTGAATTTGTCCTCCTGCAGGATGACATTCATCAGTCCTATTTTACTAACTGGGATGCCAAGATCACCAGTCCGGAGGAGAGTATGGCAGAGCATAGAAAAGAGTTGAAAGACATCTCCTCTAAACTTCATCGTCTCTTTGTCCATCTGCAAATCCCACCTACTCAGACCGTCCCTCCATCTCCTGGGCCCTCTCCAGCAGGCCCTCAACAACTCCCACGATCCAGACCTGCATCCCCTCCCTCGACACCAAAGTCAACCACACCTTCCCAGCCCTCAGGTCCATTTGATATGCAGCGGCCCAAGCTGACCCCTCCACCCATGTTCTTTGGCGAGGACCCAAAGGTGGATGTTGCAGATTCGATCACTGCACAACGAACCTACCTGAGTGGGTTCAAATGTGATGAGGACGTGAAGGTGAGTGCCATCCTGGCTCGTCTGGAGAGGACTGCACTGAAATGGTGCACCTCCACCTCCAGCAAGCAGGGGATGGAGATGGTTGATTGGGCGTAGAGCCTGGGGGTGGCTGGTTTTCTGCAGGCTTTGCAGGATAGGTTTGCAGACAAGGAGCAGGCCAGGAAAGCAGCAGATAAAATTTTGCGTTCGGGCCAAAGGAAATTCAATGGCTCCTTGTCCAAACTCTACTCCACCTTTGAGAGTCTTACATCGACTCCTGGGTTAGAGACGAGTGAGTGGGATCTGCTCATTCATTTCTTAAGAGCAATACCAGCTAGCTCTATTCTCTCAGGGCCACAAGGACTGGCTGTCCTTTGGCAGAGCAGCCCTGGACTTGAGTCCAAACTCCATGTTCAAGAAGCACCTTCTGAAGGAAGGGACCCTCCTCAAAGGGGCGTAGAAGGAAGAAGGGTGCCCTATTTGCTGCAGCCTCAAGTTCTGATGATGATGCAGCATCCTAGGGTGGGACCCCTCCATCTGGGACTGCTACTTCATATGTCGCCGATCCCGGTATTCTTGCCCTGGCCGATGCTTTGATGGGCATGGTCAGGGGTAAAGCCTCAACCCAAAAAGCACCAACCAGCAGCAAGGGAAATGTAAGGGGCATGCCTCTTCCCCTGGTGCCCACAGAGTGTCATTACCACGTGACGTCCGCTGGCCAGCTGAACCCCTTGATCCTTCCACCTTCCTCTGGCATGCACTCAGGATCCAGGAGGGGGTTTGGAGGAAGAGAAAGGACGGGTGTCTGCCTAAGATGCGAGGGGGACCACTTTCTAAAGGACTGTCCCAGCATGCCTCGCAAGTCTACAGGCAGCTCTCGTTCAAAAAACTAGAGCGGAGAGAGGTGGAAGCAGCAACACCTTCCACCAATGTTGATTCACCTTCTGATGAAGATGAATCTTCACATTCTCTCTCTGGTTCTGTTTCTGGAGTTGCATCTTTAGGATCCTTTGTTTATGAGGACACTGAGCTGGATGAGACGTGGGAGGAGGACGAGTCTCAGTGTCCCGCTGATTTTTTCTTGTCCTTGCCGGAAAGGAAAAAGCACAGATCAGACCTCATCCTACTTCAACCCTCTATCCTGGGAGCCAAGTTCAAAGGGCTCGTAGACTGTGGGGCTACGCGCAACTTTATGTCTCCCAAGACATTCAGCAGGCTGCACTTGGACCAGAGACTAGTAAAGTTGCGACAACCTATTGAGGTCCGTATTGGTGACTCATCCACAGTCGTGATCACGACTGTTGTAAAGGGTCTTCTAGTGATCTTCGATAAGCAGGGAGAAATCAGGCATCGCCTGAATTTCTATGTGTTCTCAGATGTCCCCTTTGACCTTGCTTTCTCGATGCAGTGGCTTAGTGCCACCAACCCCAGGATTGACTGGCGGATCCCTAGGGTTGAGCTATTTGACCGGCATGGGGTCTATCGCCCTTGTTTGCTCGCTGACGAGTACCATCCAGCCAGCAACTGTTTTTGCATGCATGCTCGCAGTTTTATGCGACTTTCACGCCAAACTGACCACACATGTCTGTTTGTGGCTTATGTCAAACATACTGATGTGGAGACTGCTCCCTGTCCCTCTCAGATTCAGCAGGTCGTTGACCGGTTCTCGGATCTTATGCAGGAGCCTACTGGACTTGTCCATAGGCAGACCAAACATACCATTGAGCTCCTGCCTGGTTCGGTCCCTCCCAAGGGCCGAGTCTACAGGATGTCTCCTGCTGAGCTTGAAGAGCTCGAGAAACAGTTAGAGACCCTGACCAGCAAAGGTTGGATCCGGCCCAACACATCTGAGTTCGGGGCACCAGTCCTCTTTGTTCCAAAGGGAAATGGTGAGTTGAAGATGTGTGTGGACTACAGAGGTCTCAATAAGATTACGAGGAAGTCTAGAGAGCCTCTTCCTCGTATCGATGACCTGTTGGATATGGTGCAGGGCTGCACTATCTTCAGCAAGATCGGCCTCAAATTTGGGTACCACCGGATTGAGATGGCTGAAGGCGATGTCCACAAGACAACCTTCAGAACCAGTATGGTAGTACCTAGTCATGTCATTTGGTGTTTGCAATGCCCCAGGCACTTTCCAAATAGAGATGCATCGCATATTTAGGCCTTACCTGGACCAGTTCATAGTTGTCTACCTGGATGATATCCTGGTATTCAGTCGTTCTGTCTAGTAGCATGCGCAAAATCTCGCTCTGGTCCTCCAGGCCTTACATGATAACCAGTAAAAGATTACCACAGAGAAGTCCTCTTTTGGAATTCCCTCCATGGTCTATCTGGGTCATGTCATTTCTGGAGAGGGGTTGGCACCTGAGACAACGAAAGTTGTTGCTGTTCAGGACTGGCCGAAGCCTGTTAACATTCGTGATGTTCGGTCTTTCTTGGGGCTTGCATCTTACTACAGAAAGTTCATGAAGAACTTCTCGTCCATTGCAACACCCTTGACTGACCTCACAAAGAAAGATACTTCTTTTCTTTGGACATCAGAGTGTCAGGAGGCTTTCACACGTCTCAATGAAGCCTTGATTCGTGCCCCTGTTCTGAAGTTACCTGACCCTACCTTGCATTTTGTGCTGACCCTTGATGCTAGTTAGTACGGTGTAGGGGCGGTACTTCAACAGGACGATGGGAATGGTCTGCAGCCGGTCGAGTATATGAGCAAGAAGATCAAGACCAAGAAGTTGTAGGACTCTACCTATGAGAAAGAGCCTTATGCTCTTGTGTCAGCACTCAAGCATTGGAAGCACTTCCTCCTGTGCAGGCACTTCAAGATCTTCTCAGGTCACTCCACCCTTCAATGGATAAAGTCCCAGGGAGAACTGAATGACAAGCTTGCTCGCTATATTCAGTTCATTGACATGTTTGACTTTGAACTGAAACACAAGAAGGGTTGCTACAATCGTGTAGCAGATGCCCTTTCTCGTAAGCCTGACGCCCTCTTCCTAATCTCCTTTACTCACTCTTTTGAAGAGAAGACTCGTCAGACCATTACCCGTCTGTTGCCCCAGGACCCGACTTTTGGGCCCATAGTGAGGAATCTCCAAGATGATCCTGCCTCTGAACCAGAATATGCTAAAGTTTCAGATCTTTTGTATACTTGCAGCAGAGGTGAGAACGCCTGTGTATTCCCCAGGACCACAAGCAGAGAATAATTTTGATGTCAGAGTGTCATGATGCTTGTGGTCATTTTGGAGCCCTTAAATCGTATGCAGCCTTGTCGTAGCGGTTCTTCTAGAAGGAGACGAGGAGTGACATGCTGCACTATGTGGAAACCTGTGAGTTGTGCCGAAGGAACAAGGTAGTACGTCGACCACCCCTTGGCCTACTCGAACCACTACCCATACCAGAAGCACCTGCACAATCAGTGTCCATTGACTTTACTGATCTGGGTAGGACTACACCTCGTGGTAAGCGTCAGGCTATGTTATGTGTGGGTCGGTTTTCCAAATATACAGAGTTCATCCCCTTACCAGTTGAGGCTCGTGTTCCGGCTGTTCAGGCGGCATTTGCTTACAGGTGGGTTACGCATCATGGGCCACCCACCTCTATAGTCAGTGACTGAGATCCCAGATTTTGCAGCAATGAATGGCAATCCTACTGCAGGGATTACCTTCATTCTCACCTGGACTGACATTTGGACGTCATCTTGAAGCCAATGGTCAGGCTGAAGTGATGAACCAGATTTTGTTCCAGCTGCTGCGTCCTGTGATCAGTCCAGACCAGCAGGATTGGGATTTCCATCTGGGTCGTGCACAACTTGTGTATAACACATTTGTACACTCCTCTACAGGCTTTACACCCTACTAGTTACACTGGGGTCGTGAGACACGGCAGCCTCTCGATGATGTCATCGACAAGGCTACCCCCACGTTGACGCCTGGAACTACAGAGTTCACCAGACGTTACCGTGTGGACATTGAGCACGCCCGTGCCAACCTGCTCAAAGCCCAAAAGGCCATGATCCAGCAGGTTAACCGGCACAGACGTCCCTCTACTATTCGCACAGGTGACTTGGTGTGAGTACTCAGTTCTTAGTTGCCATGAGAGGAGGACATTTCACCTAAGTTACTGCCACGATACATGGGGTCATGGGAGGTCTTAGATACAGTGGGAGCTGACCCTTTTGGACCATCCTATACAGTGGATGTCCCTCTGCATCTACAAACCTACCCCGTCTTTCATGCATCTAAGTTGTTGCCGTTTACATAAATTGATGCATTCCAAGACAGCCCCCCCCAATTTGGTCCCCCGATCCTTGGCAAGGGATATGAGGTGGAATCAATTGAGGATGAGTCACGTACAAGCTCAGACAAAGAGTACCTTGTGAAGTTCTCCTACCAGCCTCATACAGAAGATCGCTGGTTTACTCGCAAGGAACTTCTTAAAACCGCAAACTCTATTGTCCTCGAGTATGAGGCAGCACAGAAGGGAGAGCCCCTTCGACGCTCTGCACGCCTATGCCCCTAGCTCGAAGGTCCTCGCTCCGGGGGAGGGTAGGGCTGCAATGACTTGCTGGTTCCAGTGGCTTGTAGCCTCTCTCGTCGAGGTTGTACCATAAGTAGGATAGATTCATAATTTTGTTTGGCTGAGAGCTAACCGAGAGACCTGCCTGTAAGGAAAATTCGAGAGGGACATATTTGCAAATTTGGGAAAATATAGGCCCGAACTAACTAGAATTTCCTACAACTACCCTAACTGCGAATAGCAGGCCCAGGCTACCCCTAGGACAAATAGGCCATATGGGCCTAAGCTAATAGACGGTCCTATAGCCTATAGCCGAGTAGGGAGAGGCCCTACAGGTCGGAACTGAAATGGTACCGACCGGTCCAATCAGCCCGGTCTAGGTCGTGTGAAGGCTAGCGTAGGTTATAGATAGGACGAGAGAGGCCTTACAAGTCGAAACTGAAATGGTACCAATCGGTCCAATCAGTCCGGTCTAGGTCGTGTGAAGGCTAGCGTAGGTTATAGATATGACGAGGACATTGGTTCAAGGCTTTTGGCAGTTGGTACCGTGTACGTTGCTATTGTGCAACACATGAACTGGAAGTCGTGACAGCTTCAGCGTTGGAGAAGACGGCCATAGCTGGACTTGCGGAGTGTCAGCCATAGCTTGGACTGACGTTGTACTCTGACAGCACCTGGCCGCCAGAGGTCC